GAACTTGTGTCAGTTAAGAGTCATTGCAAAGTTTTAAACTGTGCTCAGTGTTTAAAGGTTTTATTTTTCCCCAGTAGGATGGAGGTATAATTGACAAAAAAAAAAAATTGTACATATTTAAAGTGTACCATGTGATGTTTTGACACATATATGTGCTGTGAAATGATTATCATAATAAAGCTAATTAGCACATCCATCACCTCACGTGGTAACCATTTCTTTTTGTAGTGAGAGCACCACACAGTGAAATGGTCACTTGTGTGGGCTGCCTGTTTGGTGATGGAAGCTCAGCTCACAGCAGATGTGAAAGTAAAACAACTTGACTAGGATTTACAATTAGAGAAAAAAGCTTTTCTGAGCTCTATCGTCAGAAGTCAGCTTAATTAAAAGCTGATATTCATGATATAGTGTTTTCTTTTCTTCTTTTCTTTTTCTCTTTCTTTTTTTTTTTTTTTTAAAGGCCTTCTACTTTTAGTCAACTGAAATCTCCTTTAAGACTTTTTTTTTTTTTTTTTTTTGGTGAGGTGGCTCATGACTGTAATTGCAGAACTTTGGGAAGCCGAGGCAGGTGGATTACTTGAGGTCAGGAATTCCAGACCAGCCTGGCCAACGTAGTGAAACCCCGTCTCTACTAAAAATACAAACATTAGCCAGGTGTGGTGGCACACATCTGTAGTCTCAGCTAGTTGGGAGGCTGAGAGAGGAGAATCGTTTGAACTCAGGAGGTGGAGGTTGCAGTGAGCCGAGACTGCAACATTGCACTCCAGCCTGGGTGACAGAACAAGACTGTCTCAAAAAAAAAAAAAAAGTTTTTTATGTTTGGTGCCTTTCTTGTTGGCGTGATTTTTGCCTTTGTAACTTGTTCTTCCATTTCCTTCCATGCCTGTTCTTCCTTCCTTTTGCCATCTTTGATATCACATGAAAAAAAAATCTAGGGGAGACTTGTAGAGACCTTGAAGTTGCACTGGGCCCTGGGGAAGCTGCAATGTGGAGCGGGGGCATGCAGGCTGGTGCGTAGGCATGGGGGCCGCCATGTTGGAGCTACTTGCAGGTTAGGTATAGTGTGCCAGCACAGAAGCTATGATGTAGCCCCCAGGGCACCTGAGGCGGCCCTGCAAGCAGGTGTGGCCAGGCTGGGGCCCTGGGAGAGGCCAGCAGACCGAGGGGTGCTCAGGTTGGACTGGCCCTATTTGATGGGCTAGACCACCCTTCAGGGTTCAGGACTGACAGTTCTCCAAGGGCTAAAGTCTCCTATGGGAGCAAGTTGAGCCTAGGGTGATGGCCATCCCTGGCCATGCTCTGCTACAGATGCTCCTGGACCAAACCCTCTGGGCTCTACATCAGCTAGTTTGCAGCCCCCTACCTCTTCTCTAAGCAGCTCTCCCTGCCAACTTGTGTCTCTGGTGGCTGAAGGGTCTCCTTCTGCTGGAGTTCCAGAGACCCGTGGTGAAAGCCAGTTGCTCCATCCCAGTTCAACTCACCTGTTCCCCTGGAGCTGCTGGGGCACAGGAACAAGACCAGGTATGCAGTAGCCCCGTGTAGGGTTCCCAGATTTCCTCCTCTCAGTCCAGCTTCTGTGTGTTCCCTCTGTTCACTCTCAGTGCCTTCCCTCTGAAGATCTGCCAGGAGTATACCAGTCATCTTGGTCCCTTGGTGGCAGCTGTTTTACCTGGCTGCATCTGGTCAGCCATTTTGCCCCTACTCAAAAACTTCTTACTGTTAACGTGGGAAAAACTGAATGCTATTCTTCTAAGATCTTTACAAGGCAAAAATGCCCACTCTTGCCATTTCTATTGAATATAGGACTGGATGTATGAGCAAGAGCAATTAGTCCAGAAAAAAAAATAAAAAGTACATAAGCCCTTTTTTCATATGTGTGTTGGCCACATAAATGTCTTCTTCTGAGAAGTGTCTGTTCATGTCCTTTGCCCACTTTTTAATGGGGTTGCTTGTTTTTTTTCTTGTAAACTTAAGTTCCTTATAGACGCTGGATATTAGACCTTTGATGGATGGACTGCAAAAATTTTCTCCCTTTCTGTAGGTTATTTGTTCACTCTGATGATAGTTTCTTTTGCTGTTTAGAAGCTCTTTCGTTTAATTAGATCCCATTTGTCAATTTTTGCTTTTGTTGCAATTGCTTTTGATGTTTTCATCATGAAATCTTTGCCCATGTCTATTTCCCGGATGGTGCTGCCTAGATTTTCTTCGAGGGTTTTTATAGTTTTGGGTTTTATATTTAAGTCTTTAATCCATCTTGACTTAATTTTTGTATAAGGCTTAAGGAAGGAGTCTAGTTTCAATTTTCTGTGTATGGCTAGCCAGTTCGCCTAGCATTATTTATTAAATAGGGAATCATTTCTCCATTGCTTCTTTTTGTCATGTTTGTTGCAGATTAGATGGTTGTAGATGTGTGGTCTTATTTTTGAGTTCTCTATTCTGTTCCATTAGTCTATATGTCTGTTTTTGTATCAGTACCATGCTGTTTTTGTTACTGTAACTTTGTAGTATGATTTGAAGTTGGGTAGTGTGATGCCTCCAGCTTTGTTCTTTTTGCTTAGGATTGTCTTAGCTATCCAGGCTCTTTTTTTGGTTCCACATGAATTTTAAAATAGTTTATTTTTCTAATTCTTTGAAGAATGTCAGTGGTAGCTTGATGAGAATAGCACAGAAATTATAAATTACTTTGGGCAGTATGACCATTTTCACAATATACTGATTTTTCCTATCCATGAGCTCAACATCACTGATCATTAGAGAAATGCAAGTCATAACCACAGTGAGATATCCATCTCATGCCAGTCATAATGGTGATCATTAAAACATCAAGAAAAACAGATGCCAGTGAGGCTGTAGAGAGATAGGAATGCCTTTCCACTGTTGATAGGAGTGTGAGTTAGTTCAATCATTGTGGAAAATGGTGTGGCAATTCCTCAAAGACCTAGAATCAGAAATACCATTTGACCCAGCAATCTCATTCCTGGGTATATACCCGAAGGAATATAAATCATTCTGTTATAAAGATACATGTATGTATATGTTCATTGCAGCTCTTTTCACAATAGCAAAGACATGGAATCAACCCAAATGCCCATCACTGACAAACAAAGAAAATGCAGTACATATAGACCATGGAATACTACGCAACCATAAAAACGAATGAGATCATGTCCTTTGCAGAGACATGGGTGGAGTTGAAAGCCATTATTCTCAGTAAACTAACACAGGAGCAGAAAACCAAACACTGCATGTTCTGACTCATAAGTGGGAGCTGAACAATGAGAACACATGGACATAGGGAGGGGAACAACACACACTAGGGCCTGTCAGGGTGACGAGGGTGAGGGCGCAGGGAGGGGAGAGCATCAGGAAAAATAGCTAATACATGATGGGCTTAATACTTAGATGATGGGTTGATAGGTGCAGCAAACTACCATGGCACACATTTACCTATATAACAAACCTGCACATCCTACACATGTACCCCAGGACTTAAAATAAAAAACCAAAAAAAAAAAAAAAAAAAAAAAAGGTAAAAAATAAGCTTAAAAGGAAAAAGTAAATTTTTTTTCTATTTGCTGATGACATGATCCTACATATAGAAAACTCAAAACACTTCAAAACACTTCATAAAATTTGTTAGAATAAATCCAGTAAAGTAGCAGGATACAGAATCAACATATAAAAATCAGTTGCATTTCTTTACACCAATAATGATCGATGTGAAAAAGAAATCAGGAAAACACAATCCATCACAATAGCATCAAAAAAAAATAAAATAAAATAAAATAGAGGGTGGAACAAGGTGGCCAAATAGAACCCTCCCGTACTCATTTCCCTGCAGGGACGTCAAGTTCAACAAGTATCCTCACGAGCCCAGGCAGCACAGTGCACAGTAGACAGAATCTACCTCCTTAGGAAGTAAAAGGAACGTTAGTGTGGGATTTTGCACTGGAGCCTAGCGCTGACCCCACTGCAGTGGAACACAGCACTGGGCAGAGCCTCCAAGGCCCTTGATTCTACGCTGGAGGCCACAGAGGGAGTATTTAGACCCACCCTGGGTCAGAGGGGAATGCTACCTCAGCAGGAGGAATCCAAGTTCCCATCCACTTCACAACCACCTAGCTAAAGTGGCTTTCGACCAGACCCTAAAACAAGGATTTGCATTCAGGTAGATTATTTGGGAGATGATTTAAGGATGCACCAGTGCAAGAGTGGGACAATGAGGCCAGGGCAGTTTGAGAATCGATAAAGGGTGCATTATTGGCAAGTTACCTGTGAACAAAGGGAGCATAATTCCACTGGACAACACCAGGAGGCAGTGTTATACAAGCGTAAGAGTAATTCCACCTGACCAGGTACAGCACAAAGATATTTAGCCTCCGACTCCCATCATCCTGGGCTGAGTAGTGGTCCCAGCCCCTTAGTTTTCGAGTCTGTCTAGCTTGCCTGAGGACATGCCAAGAGAAAGCCTTCCCATAGAGTCCCGAGTTCACACGGTAGGACGCCAGAGGCATGTTCCACAACAGTAGGTGCCGAAAACACAGTACAAGGCAATACTCACTGGTGGAATGTCCTCAAAACAAAGATGTGCTAATTATCATGATTTGATCATTACGCAACGTATACATGTATCAGAACGTCACATTGTACCCTGTAACATATACATTATGTGTGAATAAAGAAACAAAAGTTATATTGTATAGAGAAAAATGCATAAGAAACAGCAAGAGTTGTAGATCAATAACATGAATGTAAATAAAGTACACCAGCATAAACAAAGCCATATGACATATATCACCCTCATGCCCCAGACATGGAGCTATTTCAGACACATTACCCAGTGCCTTCAGGTAAAGAGGCCAGTGGGAATGAGGATGACGGATGAAGGGAAGAAAAAGTTTTAAAAGAGGCCTAATGGGAATTGATGAAGAAAGTAAGCCATAAACTGGGAGCGTGATTAAAGCCTTCCATCTTCCTCTTTTGCCTCCTCTAGGCTACCAGTTCTGCTTTTCCTGGACCTGTTCCAAGCTCTCACGTTCCACATCACACATGGGACATCTGGTGTCAGGCTCCCAGAGAGCAGGAACCAGGTGAAATACAAGGGCACAGTCCTCCCAGCCAGTGGCATGGGGATAATCGGACAGTACAACTCTCCACACTTTTTTAATGGAAAGATATGAATAAGGGGTCCACAGGAGCAACCTGAGGCCCTGCAACTACATTTCCCAGGGCTCCCTGGGGTAACCAGGGAGGTGACTCTGGGGGCAGGGCCACGTGGACATCCAATGAGAGCACTTCCCCTGCAGACTTTGAAAGTGAGAGCACTTCCTCATAGACGTTGGATGTGGGAGGAGTGCATTCAGTCTGGTTCCTGGTTGCCGCTGAAATAACCTGGTAAGTGGAACTCTGTAAGGGTCTTGCAGCGTACTTGGTAACTGGGATTTAATCCTATGTCAAGTGTGAGTACAGGAGAGTAGATTCTACACGATGTCCACATTTCAAGTATAAGGTTGTTCAGAAAGTCTGACTGGCACATACTTGGAAGCTAATGCTGTCACTACTCCACATCATAGTGGTGACAGTTACAGGTCCCTGATTCAAACTGTTGGGTTTAGAGTCACAGCCGCTTTATAGCTGCGAGAACTTGGCCTAGTCACTTAGTTTCCCTAAAACTCAGTTTCTTTTTCAGTAAAATGGAGCTATGAGTACTGCTTACTTAAAGGAGTTGTGAGGATTAAATACATGTATTAAAAGATAGCCGATGTGTTTAAGGCAACGTTCTCAACAGGATTTCCCTCTTGGTTACTTGTAACCATGATGCTGACCCTCCTCTGTCCCCAGTGGTGTGCGTCCCAAAGGATCCAGTTAGTCCAACAGGCAGCAAGCTCCTAACAATTCCTGCTTCTCTTGCACTGGCTGATAAAAAGCCCCTAAAGATCCCGGATGTCCAGAAAGATTGATTTCTGTTGTTTGCAATGCCTATGGGAATTCCAGAGGGAAGTTTTTGTTTTTTTGAGACAGAACCTTGCCCAGTTGCCCAGGCTGGAGTGCAGTGGCACGATCTCAGCTCACTGCAACCTCCTCCTCCTGAGTTCAAGTGATTCTCCTACCTCAGCCTCCTGAGTCGCTGGGATTACAGGCACCCGCCACCGTGCCTGGCTAATTTTTGTATTTTTAGCAGAGATGGGGTTAATTTTTGCATTTTTAGTAGAGATGGGGTTTCACCATCTTGGCTAGGCTGGTCTGAAACTCCTGACCTCAAGTGATCCACCCGCCTTGGCCTCCTAATGTGCTGGGATTACAGGTGTGAGCCGCCATACCAGGGACGAAGTTTTATCATGGCTGAAGGACGCTTAGTGGAGAGGGTCTCCAGGAGGCATGAATGACAAAAAAAACTCCTTCACTGTCAGACTGAGAGCATCACCCGCTGAACATGGACTTGCAGAATTCCACAGAAGAGAGGAGACTGGCCCAGACAGCCAGCCTCAGGAGCTGAGGGCCCGATGGGCTTTCTTCCCTGGATGCTGCTCCCATGCCCTGACACGATGCCCACTACAATGGTATACTTGTTTGTACTTTTCTAATTAAAAAACAAACAAACAAAAAATCAGACATACTGTTTGCTCTCGAATGCTTGAAACTCAGAACAGGTGACCACACCTTCCTCCTCAAAAGGAACTTTTTAACTGCCAACTTTCTACCTGCACGCTGCCCAGAGACTTATTTTGTCTGGCCTTTGCCGTCTTCAGCAGTGGCAGCTGTTTTTCTCTAGATTTGTTTTCCTGGCCTGCTGCAAGTACCCCCCACTACCTGCCTGGCCCCAGTCGGCATTAACTGGGAGCAGTGAGTGGCCTTGTGGACATGAACAACTGTTGAATGATGGTCTTTAGGTGTGGCTACTCCAGCAACCCCTATTCTTCCAGAGACTCAATAGGCTGGCTTTGGAGGGGGCTAGGTTGTAGTGTCAATTTAGTGGGATTCCATGCCCTTCTTCCATGGTGGTAGAGACAAAAGAGAAAGAATAAGAAAAGCCACTCATTGGCTCTCCTTAAAATTCTTCTAATTATTAATGCCAGAAATCTATGCGCACGTGTAGATGATTTTATCTCAGTCCACAATTGTACTTGTGCTAATTGTAGCCTTAAGGCATAACATCTCATAGGCAGGCTACCTCTGTGTTAATCTGCTTTTAATTCTTCTATGTTGGGCTCTTGTTTATAACTTTTTTAAGAGAAAGAATAAAGGTTTCTTTAGCGATAAAGAAAAAGAAAACCACTGCTGTGTGTTTAACATATATAGATTCTAGGGACCTGGAATTGAACAATGAGATCTGCGTATCAACCTGCTCTCCAGGGGTACCACATCCGATAATGTGATTTATTATTGAAGTGCCAAGTCACGTAGGGATAAGTCCCAATAGTTGGTCAACTGTTGAATATTGATCATTCAACTAAACAACATTCATGAACTCTGCAGAAAAACACAAGCATTTTGCCCAACATCCAGGGACCTCTAGAAGTTGCCTCATTCTGTGTATCTTACCTTTCTTTTACACAGCTCTCCAAAATGTCCACCCAGGTGACTTAAGTCAGGTTCCCCCAAACCAGAAACCAAGACAAGAATCCATGTGTGAGAAACTGAAGGAAGTGCTGGGAGAGCCCCAGCTGCAGCCTGGATGTGAATTGCAACTCTGAAGTGCGTCCAGACGCAAGGCAAGGGCACTAGGCTTTCCAGACCTCCTACTAAGTCATTGATCCAGCACTGCCCTGGCAGGACATAAATCCCTGGCACTTCTAGCTCTCTGCAAAGGAGGGCAAAGCAGCTTCAGGAGCCCTTGGGAGTGCTCCAAAGAGAGTCTAGGGTACAGGTCCTAAAGTAGAACACAGAAGGCCGGCCAGGGGCACTGCGAGATGGGAAAAGAGATCTGAAGGGATCCAGGTAAGTTATTGAAAGTATTCTTCCTGCGCTAACCCCAGTCCTGAATCCTTGCCAGCCAGCCCCGTGTTCCCTCTTAGGTACCCTGAGCAGGCTCTATTTTATACGCTTCCATACCTACAGTGGAAACCAATAGGTTGGTTGGTTGGTTTGTTTTCAGACAGAGTCTCATTCTGTTGCTCAGGCTGGAGTGCAGTGGCACGATCTCAGCTCACTGCAACCTCCACCTCCCGGGTTCAGGTGGTTCTCCTGCCTCAGCCTCTCGAATAGCTGGGACTACAGGCATGTGCCACCACACCTGGCTTTTTTTTTTTTTTTAATTTTTTATTAGAGATGGGGTTTCACCGTGTTGGCCAGGCTGGTCTTGAACTCCTGACCTCAAGTGATCCACTCGCCTCGGCCTCCCAAAGTCCTGGGATTATAGGTGTGAGCCATTGCGCCCAGACCCAATAGGTCTAGGGGTCTCATTTGAGTCGTCATATATATATATGTTTTTTTTTTTTCAATTTTTTTGTCTAAAAAACTTTAGACAGGGAATGCACTCTCCAGTTCTCTTCAAGCGCTACCCCCCTCATTTTATTATACCTAGATAGGTCTTGCCTTTACATTTCAATAATTTAACCAGAATATGTCCCATTAAAAATCTTTTAATTGGGGGCCATCAGACTGGGTGACTCCTGTGGTTTCATTTTCATTCTTTTTACTGTTTACCAGTAAACAGTAGAAAACTAGAGACTTCACCAATCAGAAACTGTCAACTAACCTCTAACTAGGGACTTTGCACTCTAACCAACCAAAAAGCTTTTCCTTGTCTCCTGCAAACAGTTTATAAACATTTCTCTCCTGCCCTCCCCTTTCCTCAGCAGAGCATTGAGCCACCCGTGGTCTGGTGCTGCCTGACTCATGAATTGCTATCTAATAAACCTTAAAAAACGTTATACCTAAAAAATGATCTTTTAACAATCCCAGTGTTGACAGTACTGGATTGGACTCTCCTAGACTCTGGTCTTTCTTAATCTTCAGATTTAATTTTGTGTGTGTGTGTGTGTGTGTTTTTAAGTAGAGACGGGGTTTCACTGTGTTAGCCAGGATGGTCTCGATCTCCTGACCTCGTGATCCGCCCGCCTCGGCCTCCCAAAGGGCTGGGATTACAGGCTTGAGCCACCATGCCCGGCCCAGATTTAATCTTTAACTTCATATTTCTATCTCCATATAAGCCCAAATGACTCATTCAAAAGCCATAACTCTCATAACTTTTCTACTCTTTGTTCTGTATTGAAAGGAGTCAGTGTTCACCAGCACTCCCTTACTGTGACCCCTCTACTTCTCGGTTTTCATATTCATCTGCTTGTTCACTGGCCATGAAACAGAAACTATCAGGACACCTCAGTTATTGCATTTCTCAAGCTCTTTTATGTTTGTTATTACCTTTATATTCATGTTGCCTTTATGATCAAGTGAAATACTAGCCAGAATATTTGGAGCACACACTTTCCCTTTAATACTTTGAAGATATACTTCTATTACTTCACCAATGGATATTTCTGTGTAACATTCTCTTGCTGGCCTGATGTTTTCTCTTTTATGAAATATTTTATTTCTCTGCCAGATGCTTGAGTAGTTGTCTTTAATTTTGACTTTTAAAAATTTAACAAAAATATATTCCAGGGGCAAACATGTTGTATCGAACTTTTCCAGAATTTTCTCTTTTGTTTTTCAGCTTCAATGTTTTCATCATTTCAGGAAAATATTTATCTTTACATACATTTTTCTTTTTTTTAACTTTCAAATCCAGGGGTACAGGTACAGGTTTGTTATATAGGTAAACTTGTGTCATGGGGGTTTGTTGTACAGATTTTGTCACCCGGGTGTTAAGCCCAGTACCCATTAGTAATTTTTCCTGATCCTCTCCCTCCTCCCACCCTCCAACCTGTGAAAGGCCCCAGTGTGTGTTCTTTCCTTCTTTGTGTTAATTCTCATCATTTAGCTCCCACTTATAAGTGAGAACATGCAGTATTTCATTTCCTGCTCCTATGTTAGTTTGCTAAGGATAATAGCTTCCAGCTCCATCCATGTTTTCATTAAAGACATGATCTTGTTCTTTTTAGTGGCTGCATCGTATTCCATGGTGTATAAGTACCACATTTTCTTGATCCATTCTGTCGCTGATGGGCATTTAGGTTGATTCTGTGTCTTTGCTATTGTGAATAGTGCCATACATTTTTCTATTGCACTTTTTGCGTTCTCCACTTCAGAAGCACCAATTGTCTTTGCATTGGCTTGTCCTTGACTGCTTTCTATTAGATTCTATCTTAATTGCTTTATCATTTAATTAGCCTTTAGTATGAATATCAAGCTTTCCTTCCACATAAGCAATGTGATATGACATTGTATCTATATAGTTCCTTTCTGTTCATCATTAATTATGTAGTCTGTTGATCATTAATTAGTTCCATTTCTGTCCTTAATGAGTATTCTAAGGTATGAAATCTTTCCTTTCATAAAACTATTATTTACCACTTTATTTTTAGCTGTTTGTTATTGAGTTTATTTTACATGGTCCATAGCCCCAGATACCTTTACAAAAATTTTTTTTCAGTTTATTTTTCTTCTTAAATTGGTTGTGGTTTTTTCGTATATAACTTCTGCATGTTATGTCTTTTCTTCTAATCTCAATCTCATAGTATTTTCATTTTGTTTGTTTTCATCATTTTTATGTGTATATAGCTCTGTTTCCAACTTTTTTTTGTTGCTTGAATCTGGTGCAGCTGGTGAGATGTCCAACTGGGATTGGCGTAGACTTGTGAATCGAGGAAAATGACGAGACGAATCTCAATCATTTTAGGAGATTTATTTGCCAAAGTTAAGGATGTGGGCCTGGGAGAGAGATCTATGTCTTTCTCTGAAGATGATTTTGAGGGCTACAAATTTAAAGGGGAAAGGATGGGGTATCAAGAAGCACAGTTTTCATGTAAGAGCGGGGTTGGGAGGAAAATGGTCATTCATGGCTTTGTCTGACTCCGTGAATCTGCATTTTTTGCAGACGACATAAACAAAAGAGGCAGAGGAAAAATGCAGGGACTCTGCATTTTATGTAACATACCTGGTGGCTCAGATGCTACTCTCTTAGCTGTGGGTTCAACCAATTGGTTACCCTGACTCTGTGGTGTCTAATTTTGAGTGACCTGGGATTTTTATAATTGTCAAATGTTTTGGTTTTAGAATAGCTTGTAACAGCTCTGATACTTGCTGTCCATTTTCTATGGGTTGCCCTGAGGAGGTTAAATACCCTCTCTCTTTCCATAGCATCCCAAAGGCACGAGCAACCCCAAAAGCGTAGCAGCTGTCAGTGCAAATGTGTGCAGCCTTCTCTTTTGTCACTTGACAAACTCGAGTCAGGGCAGTCAGTCTGGCCACTTGAGCCGATCTGGCTTGGGGAAGAGGACTGGCTTCAGTTACCTCAAGTAAGGAAACCACCGCATATCCTGCTCTAAAATTTCCATTTTATCCTCTTAAATAAGACCCATCTGTATACCATTCTATCTCAGCATTATCCAATGGCATCTCTTGGAGGTCTGTCCTGGGGGTGAGAAGTTGGTCAGTCATCAGAACACAGTCATGAGGGGAGTTGTCGGAAGGGCCCGGCAAGAGAATGGCTGGATTAAGATTATAGAGCAGGAAATAGTAATATTGGGAGATGATAAAAGCAAAATTTCATAAGAGACTAACCAGTTGACAGACAGATACTGGGTATGACGAGAATTTAGAAGGGTCTCAATAGGGTGTGGCACAAAAATGGTAAGGGGGGAACCCATAATTATTTCTTCAACAGACTTGTACAGAAGGGCGATGGCTGTTATTACTCGTACACAAGGAGGCGGCCCTCGAGCCACAGCGTCCAGCTGTTGGCTATAATAGCCTACAGCTCTCTGATGATCACCATGTTTCTGTGTCAGTATCCCGGATGCAGTACCTTCAGTTTCACATACAAAAAGGGAGAAAGGCAATCTGTAGTTTGGGTGCCGTGAGGCTGGGGAATTAGTTAGAATTTCCTTTATTTGTTATATAGCCGATTGTCCCTCTGGAGTCCACATGATGAGATCAGGTTGTTCATTTTTTAGGTATGCATATAGAGGGTGAGCCATAAAGGAGAAATGTGGTATCCAGTTTCTACAACAGCCTGCCAGTCCCCAGAAATCCTCTAAGTTGTTTCTTGGTGATGGGCATTGGGAAAGCTAAAGTTTTTCTCACTTTATCAGGGTTAATACTCAGTCCTTTGACCAAGATAATATGCCCCAAATACTTAACTTGCAGTAAGCACAGCTGAAGTTTGTCTTTGGACTCTGTACCCTTGCTGGCTGAGTAAATATAGACTATCTTCCTGGGAGGAATATTCTGGGCCTGGACAAAGGAGAAGGTCATCCACGTACTGAATGAGTGTTGAGCCCTGTGGAAAAATTAAATCCTCTAAATCAGTTTTTAGTATTTGGGAAAAGTAAGTGGGACTTTCTGTATACCCTTGGGGCATTACAGCCTACATATATTGCCATTCTTTCCAAGTAAAAGCAAACAAATACGGGCTGTCTGGATCTACAGGAATACTGAAAAAGGCACTGCAGAGAGTCACCACTGAGAAATACTGGCTGGTAGTGAGTATAGCTGATAGAACGGTATGTGGGTCGGGGACTACTGGGTGACTGGCTATTACAATATTGCTTATTGCCCTCAAGTCCTGCACAAATCTCCATTTTCTCCTGCTCGGTTTCTTTACAGGGAATATAGGGCTCTTGCAGGGGCTTGTGCAGGGAATAATGAGCCCCTTTTTAGATAACCTTGTGTAATAGGGGCAATTCCATTTACGACTTTCTGTCATAGAGGGTATTGTTTAAGGTTGCGTAGGGGTTTCTTTGGGTTTATCTCTACCTTTATTGGAGTGGCTGATAATACTTTCCCTATGTCTGTATTGACTGAGACCATAACTGGGAGGGGACATCCTTGAGCAAGCATCCTCTTCTGGTGTTAGCAGGAAGACTGGGGAAGCTAAAAGCAGTTTTACTGTTTCCCACTCTTTATTCCAGTGTTTTCTCTTCTCCCCTATTACTTCCTTCTGTGTCTCCATTTCATTTTCCCGGCCACAAGATGATGTTTCAACATTACTAGTACTAAATTGTGGTACATCGTCTGGACATTTTGTAATTCGGTATTTTTGGTCTCCTGGCCCCAATTCTAAAAAAAAGTTCACTTTTTGATGAAAAAGAGATATGGGCATTATGGATGTTAAGGAGATCATGGCTCAAAAGACTGACAGGGGCCCCAGGACATCTAAGAAATGTATGGTGCCTACTGAGCATGTCACATACTCTTAGAGCTTGCGGCAGGGGAGCGGAACCGGATGGAATGGTAAGGTAGAGGTTTGGACTTAAAACAAGAGATCATTTTATTAGACGCAGCCACCATGGTAATTCTGTCATTACTCTGAGGAATGGGGTTTCTAAATAAGGTGGGATTGATCAGAGATATAGTTGTGTCTGTGTCAATTAAGGCAGCTGTAAGCTCATGGTTCAATATTATATTAATGTCTCCCAATTTGTTTGTCATGGTGAAGTTTTAACAGCTCACTAGGAGTTTCCTGTGGGCAAAATATGGGGGAGGTGTGTGGCTTTTCATCTTGTAGCCATCTTATTCAGGAACCAAGAAAGGGGGAGGCAGATTTACATGATGCACTTACCAGCTTGACTTCCCCCTTTGGCTAAATGAGTATGGGGGTCCCACAATTTAATTTCCTTTCACAGACTCCTCAGTTTTTTTTAGTGGAGGTGAGGGGAGGTGACTATGACAAGAGATGCTCTGATGGCGGATCTTCTGTATGTAGATGGTCCTTCTTTCTTTTGAGTAGCATCATACATTAAGGGCCTTACCTTGTTTATCTGCCTCAACACGCCCAATAATAGTTGTACCTAGAGGAAGACCGGGTGCTGGCACTACGTCCTGGTCTTTGATGTGTTTGGTGTATGTCATGGCAGTGATTGGGGGCATGGAGCCTGGTTCAGCCTTCCTTGCTGATCTCATGGCAGTTCATCAGCTGGTGGGTTGTCTCTGGAGTGTGGAAGCCCCGCTCCTGGTGGCTTTCCCAGCTTCCAGGTTCTTAAGCCAGAAGCGTTGCTCCCATCTCCATAGTTATAGTTTCCACACACTTTCTTATACAACTCAAATGTTCGCTTTACTGTGCAGTCCATTCCCTCTGTTTTGTGATTTTTAGGAAATCTTCATAATTTGTGGTCTACAAAACTATTATTTTGTTTTCAAGGAAGTCATGTTACATATTTCTAACTGTCTTTTCTCTTATTTCTAGAATTCAAGCCAGGAAGAAGCAGCATTCTGTCTTCTGGATTAAAACTGAAGCTCAACCTACTTTCAGCTTACTAAGAAAGGTATTAACGCCTTTCTGAGAGCTCTCAGTAGGCTTCCTAAGCACGTTCACTCTGCCTCCTTTAAATCTTATATTTAGGATCAAGATGAAAGGGAGGGAGGGATGTATCACTGCACATTTACAAGTGGATATATAAAGCTAATAGTATTTTCAGTGAGCTCTTTTCCTGAGCTACTTTCCAGGTGCTTTCAGCATTCCACCTTGAAGCACAGCGTTAATAATGCACAATTTCTTATGTTCAGCCACAGAATGTTCAAGTGTGATTTGGTTACAACATACTGCTCTATCCAGGCCTCTAACAAAACTGACTTCTTTCAAATGGACTTGCAGTTGCTAAATTCCAAATCAACACCTTATCTTAAAAATTAAGAAAAGGAGGGGAAGGATGGAGGGAAGGGAACAGAGAGAGTACAAGAGAGAAAGAAAGAAAAAAGAGGAAAACAAATGCTTGTAAACAAGTTATACCAAATAAAAGAGATATAAAGGAATTTCTTAATAGAAGGAATGATATTCTAAGCAAGAATCAAATGTCCAGGTATGTATAAACTGCCTTCTTCCTTTTGGATCAGCTTCTCTCTCTTCTTTACGTACTCAGTACAAATTCTAGGTTGGGGGCACAGAGGGGTTGGCAAGGTCTGACTAAATACAACTTGTTCTCTCTCTGAGTGGTAGAACTTTAGAGCTTGACCAAATGTTAAGAAAGGGTGCTGGTGGAAGTTAGGATGAGAAGAAATGCAATCTAATAGATTTAGGAGAAATGACGTTGTCGACATCGGGAACAGAGAAAGTTGGAAACTGGCAATATGGGGAGGATAGCTGGGTCAGAAAGGAAAAATAGGAGAATGTAGAAGAAATGTTATGAGAAGGGAAAATAAGAGATGCTTCACTTATTATCATTCAACTGGCGGCAGCTCCCTTTTACAAGGTCATCCTCAGGCCATACCACATTACAAAAGAGTTATACCTGAGGCCTGTACAGCACTGTTACAATCAGAGTCTCAAAACATTAAGACTCCATGATGGCAGGTTTAAAAAACCTTTTCTAAAAGATGTAACAAAATAAGGGGCATTTATTTTTTTTTTGGTTCACATTGCCTGAAAGTTAAAAGATAGCTTTTGGCTTCATTGAGGTGGTTCCTCATTCTACCTTCTCTTGTTTTTCATTTCTTGGTAAACTTGGTGAATCCTTTGTTAGTGTTGTTCTTCAATAGGTTCTCACCAATAGCTTTGAATGAATACCCCACCAGCTTCTACCTTGTAGCAGAATGTACACGCTGAGGTTTCAGAAACAGTTCCTCAATGAAGTCTCAGCTCTACACAGGGCATATGTTGTCCATGAGTTGAGCACTGGTCGTAGAGCATATGTGTTCAAATTGGTTCCACCTAGTTCATGTGACTGTCCATAAGGCGCAATATGGGCAGCCTATCCTCTATACAGTAGCCAGAAAGATCACTTTGATTGTAGCAAACATTGCTCAATCACAACCTTTCTGTCAGGCCTCTCTCATTTACATTTCTCACTTCACTTAGAGTAAAAGCCAAAATGCCAGTCTTAGCTCCAAGGCTGCAGTTGCCTGTCAGATCTCATCTCAATCCACTCTCCTTCTCACTCACGTGCTCCAACTGCCCTGGCTTCCTGAACGTTTTTTGAATGCTCAAGGCATTTTCCAGCTTAGGGCCTTGTTATTTTCTGTTCTCCTGCTTGGAACAATCCTCCTCATGCATATCCTTAGGCCTTATTCTCTGGCATGCTTCAAATCTGAGTTTTTTTTTTTTTTTTTTTAACCAACTAATTTGAAATTGGAGCTCTCCCTGTACACTTACTAAATCCTTTCTTTAGTTTTCCTAGGGCAGTAGTAGATTTTACTACAATCTAACAGACTGCATGTTTTATCCACGTATTCAGTTTCCTATGTATGTCACTCCAACTCCCACTATAAGATTTTTGAGAGTAAACAAGCACTAGATCAGTAGGAAACACATTATAGCTATTCAGTAAACTGTTTCTTGAGTTAATCAATCAATGGATGAGTGAATCAATACAGTTCTTTGAGTGGGAAACTTTGTATAAGCCTCAGCTAAAAGGGAAATTGAGTGGGTCAGGTACCACAGATACTATACACTCTATTGCATGATTCTCCTGCCTGCATCAGAAGATGTTTGTAAGCCTATTTTAATAAATACCAATTGGAATCTCTCTTTTGTTAATCACCAAGAGAACCATGAACAAGCTGTTTATCATTTGACTCATCATTTAGTCTTGATTTCCAACTTCTCACACTTGAAAGAAGACATAATACATTTCTTACAGGATTCTGGGACTATTAACTGAACTTATGTGTCTAAAAGGAATTTATATAATAAAAGCACTAGAAATAATTATTATGCTTATAAGCATTGTATTTTTACATATTTAAAATATAGCCATAATTAGCCTACTCAAATCCAAGTGTAAAAGTAATATGATTTGCTTTCGTTTTGTTTTCCTTGCTTAGGGGATCATGGACATTGAAGCATATCTTGAAAGAATTGGCTATAAGAAGTCCAGAAACAAATTGGACTTGGAAACATTAACTGACATTCTTGAGCACCAGATCCGAGCTGTTCCCTTTGAGAACCTTAACATCCATTGTGGGGAAGCCATGGACTTAGGCTTAGAGGCCATTTTTGATCAAGTCGTGAGAAGAAATCGGGGTGGGTGGTGTCTCCAGGTCAATCATCTTCTGTACTGGGCTCTGACCACTATGGGTTTTGAGACCACGATGTTGGGAGGGTATGTTTACAACACTCCAGCCAAAAAGTACAGCACTGGCATGATTCATCTTCTCCTGCAGGTGACCATTGACGGCAGGAACTACATTGTCGATGCTGGGTTTGGACGCTCATACCAGATGTGGCAGCCTCTGGAGTTAATTTCTGGGAAGGATCAACCTCAGGTGCCTTGCATCTTCCGCTTGACGGAAGAGAATGGATTCTGGTATCTAGACCAAATCAGAAGAGACCAGTACATTCCAAATAAAGAATTTCTTAATTCTGATCTCCTAGAAGACAGCAAATACCGAAAAATCTACTCCTTTACTCTTGAGCCTCGAACAATTGAAGATTTTGAGTCTATGAATACATACCTGCAGACTTCTCCAGCATCTGTGTTTACTAGCAAATCATTTTGTTCCTTGCAGACCCCAGATGGGGTTCACTGTTTAGTGGGCTGCACCCTCACCTATAGGAGATTCAATTACAAGGACAATACAGATCTGATAGAGTTCAAGACTCTGAATGAGGAAGAAATAGAAAAAGTGCTGAAAAATATATTTAATATTTCCTTGGAGAGAAAGCTTATGCCCAAACATGGTGATAGATTTTTTACTATTTAGAATAAGGAGTAGGCTGGGCGCGGTGGCTCACGCCTGTAATCCCAGCACTTTGGGAGGCCGAGGTGGGTGGATCACGAGGTCAAGAGATCGAGACCATCCTGGCTAACATGGTGAAACCCCGTCTCTACTAAAAACACAAAAAATTAGCTGGGCGTGGTGGCGGGCACCTGTAGTCCCAGCTACTCGGGAGGCTGAGGCAGAAGAAGGTGTGAACCTGGAAGGCGGAACTTGCAGTGAGCTGAGATCGCGCCACTGCCCTCCAGCCTGGGTGACAGAGTGAGACTCCATCTCAAAAAAAAAAAAAAAAAAAAAAAAAGAATAAGAAGTAAAACAATCTTGTGTATTTGTCACCCAGCTCACCAGTTATCAACTGATGACCTATCATGTATCTTCTGTACCCTTACATTATTTTGAAGAAAATCCTAGACATCAAATCATTTCACCTATAAAAATGTCAGCATATATAATTAAACAGCATTTTAAGGAAACAGAACCACAAACCTTTTCAAATAATAAAAATAAAGGTATTTTGAAGATGGCCTGTGGCTATCTTGGAAATCGGTGATTTATGCTAGAAAGCTTTTAATGTTGGTTTATTGTTGAATTCCTAGAAAAGTTTTATTGGTAGATGAGTAAATAAAATATTGTGAAAAAACTTATTGTCTATAAAGTATATTCAAACATTGTTGGCTAATATAATTTGAATTAAAATGGTTTTTTGGAAGACTTACGATATTATGGGGCTACATAATTTTTCCTGAATGTTCTCTTCCTCTGATCTTTCTTGTCTCTTAAATTATTTTACTTCCTTGTGCTCTTTGCCATATGAGAATGAACATGAGCTTTTCTTGTGTAGATCTGAGTTGAAATCCTGTGGACACTGGGTGAATTACTTTTTGTATCTCTAGCTCTGACTCCTTAGGCATAAAATAGGAATAATGCTTTTACAGTTCAGTGGCAGAACTAAACTCCCAACACATATTTGTTATATGGATCTTTTAATAATGTCAGTCATGTTTTTGGTACTAAGTCATTATTTAATAAAAGTTATTCTTCTATCTTGCTTGCCCCCACCTCCTGCACCCCTGTCATCTGCCTGCTTCTTTCTTGATTAAATATTGGTAAGATATTAGATGCCCAAGATCTAAGAGTGCTTCAGAATCTGAATCTTTGCTTATCTATAATTCAGATTTTCTGTTTGTGGATTTCCAGTATCAGGACTATAGTTTAACTTGCAGACTTGATCTTACACTATTCTCCCTCTTCAACTTGTGATCATTGTAATAAGGTTAAGAGAAAGGCAGGGACTAGAATGAAGAAATTTTAGTTAAGAGAACAAGGTACGTTGTAACATGGGTATTTTATGCGGCAATATAACAGTTGGGAGTTGCTGGTGTGGGTGGATATCTTACAAAGAGGTAGAAATGAGACGTGGCCTCAGTGGGAAGGAAGGATGAAAGATACATTTTGGTATTTGATGGCTTGCCATCTTCCTTACTGTACTGGCCTTTTTCAACTCTGCTGCTATCTGGCAGCAATGCCAGGTCACTTCTTGTACTCTTGGGCAGAAATGAGTTTTTCACTTTCTGACCAGGACCATGCCTATGGAGTAGATGTTGACAAGAAACACTGAGCAGAACAAAATGTGGCTCAAGGAGAATGGCACAGTTTTGTTCAAATGAATCAAGGAAGTCTTATCGCACGAGTATCCTGGAACTGAATGCAACTGATTTTTTTAGAAAAAAATATCACATACGGAAAAAAAAATAACCTGGAATATGTTGAAAGACATGTATATAATATTTAGCATCTAGATTGATGACTTCTGCTCTGACTATGCAATGTTAACTTTTCTCAAGTGAAATCTAAACGAGTGAAGGAGAATAATCTTGCCAATTCACTTGGTCAGAGATCTTAAGATGACTCCTAATTACTTGTGTCTGTCCAAACTATTGTCTCTGTTTTTAGTGGCCCCTTGGAGATTAGAATGTGCCATGTCCTGTCAAGACCCCAAGACAAGTAAGGTAGAATCCAAACACTTTATATGTAGCTGGAAATGTGGGGGTGTTGGATGTATATTTCAGTTTCTTCTATCATGATGGTGAAGCTGAGTGTGAACCTTTATCTTCCATTCTCTGCACTAAGCCAGGGAGGGAATCTGACAAATGCCTCTACTAGTGGTTAGGTTGTACTCTCGTGGGGAGAGAGCTACTAGAAGTTGGCCCAATTGTATATTTGCCAGTTTGTTTCCAGTGTCTAGGGCCACTCAGAAATGCACAGCCCCATTGATTCCCAGGCTAGGTCATTAAAGAGACAGTCCCTTCTATGAGCACTACACAAGTTGTGGCAGTTGGTGTGTGGATCAACTACCTCTAAAAAATATGGGTAGACTTGGAATAATCACTGGAGGGAGCTAGAGGAAAGGCTCAGGAGGTGATAACCTTCAGCTCAGGCTTTTGGAGGGTTACGGTTTGTCTACCCCATTGACTCACCAATACAAGTTCAATGGAAGTCAAGCTGCCAAGTAGCCACTTAAAAAATGTGCAATAGGCTGGGTATGGTAACTCATGCCTGTAATTCTAGCACTTTGGGAGGCCGAGGCAGGTGGATCACCTGAGGTCAGGAGTTCGGGACCAGCCTGGTCAACGTAGTGAAGCCCGTCTCTATTAAAAATACAAAAATTAGCCATGTGTGGTGGTGGGTGCCTGTAATCCCAGCTACTCAGGAGGCTGAGGCAGGAAAATTGCTTGAACCCAGGAGGGGGAGGTTGCTGTGAGCCAAGATCACACCATTGCACTCCAGTCTAAGCGACAAGAGCAAGACTCTGTCCAAAAAAAAAAAAGTGCAATAAACCCCTTCTGGAGAAAAAAATTGGGGCTGTGCATTCCAGCCTTTTTTTTGTGCACTACACCCAGAAAGCATATTCTATGGAAACCCCATCTTTGTTCTGTGACCTAGAGAAACACATATGCCTAGTTTCCTTTACTATTAGTGCCAGGAGGCTTAGGATGCTGTCCTTCATGTGGAAGCTGTAAAAGTTGGGGCATAAGGAAAATAACTGCCAATTGAAAATACTATTTTCAATTGTATTCTTCAAACCTATTCTTCAAACATGAAGGGAGATAAAACCCAAAGACAAACAAAAGCTAAAGAAGTCATCACCACCAGACTTGTCTTACAAGAAATGCTAAAGGGATTTCTTCATCTGAAAGGAAAGGACGCTAACATGCAACAAGAAAATATGTGAAGGTATGAAACTCATGGGTGAAAGTAAGTACACAGACAGATTTATAATATTCTAAGAGTGCAATTGTGGTGTGTAAACCACAGTATCTTTAGTATGAAGACTAAAAGACAAAGCTACCAAAACTAACGACAACAATTTGTTAGGAGATGGGCAATATAAAATGATGTAAATTGTGCCAACAAAAAGTCAATATACGGGAGGCATGGAGTAAAAGTGCAGAGTTTTAAACTTTTTTTATTGGCTTCCTTTCTTTGTGCTGAATGTTAAGTTTCCATCAGTTTAAAGTAACTTGTTATAGCTCTAAGATTTTTTGTAAGCCTCATAGTAACTACAAAACGAAAGGTTGTCATAGACATACTAAAAATAAAAAGAAAGTAATTAAAACACACTCCCAGAGAAAATCACTTAACCACAAAGGAAGATGGGAAGGAAGGAAGAACAGAATTAAAAACAATCAAAGCTGGGCATGATGGCATGTACCAACAGTCCTAGATACTTCAGGAGGCTGAGGCAGGAGGATCACTTAAGCCCAGGAGTTAAAGGATTCAGTTAGCTATGATCACATCAATGCATTCAAAACTTGTTGACAGACAGCGACCTTGTCAAAACAAAATAATATAAAATAAAATAAAAACAAAAAACTAGGCGTGGTGGCTCATTCCTGTAATCTCAGCAGTTTGGGAGGCTAAGGTGGGCAGCTCACTTGAGCCCAGGAGTTCAAGACCAGCCTGGGCACCATGGCAAAACCCCATCTCTACTGTAAATACAAAAATCAGCCGGGTGTAGTGGCACATTCCTGTAATCCCAGCTACTTGGGAGGCTTAGGCATGAGAATTACCTGGGAGGCAGAGGTTGCAGTGAACTGAGATTGTGCCATTGCACTCCAGACTGGGCAAGAGAGTGAGACACTGTTTCAGATAAATAGGTAAGTAAATAAATAAAACAGCCAAAAAACAAATAACAAAATGGCACAAGTATGTCTTTATCTAGCAATAATAACAATGCATGTAAATGGAAAAAATTAAAAGATGTAGAATAGCTGAATAGATTTTTAAAAAATACTCAATTATATGCTGTCTACAAAAAACTCATGTAACCTATAAAGGCACATGTAAACTGTAAGTAAAGAGATGGAAAAAGACACTCAATGCAAATGGAAACCAAAAATGAGCAGGAATAGCTATATTTATATCAGACAAAACAGACTTCCAGTCAAAATTGTAAAATGAGGCAAAAAGGTTATTATGTAATGATAAAGGGATCAATTCAGCAAGATGGCAAGATGATATAACAATAATAAATATATATGCACCCAACATGGAGTAGCCAAGTACATAAACATTAATAAATCTAAAGGGAGAAGTAGACAGCAATAAATATTATTAGGGAACTTTAACAACCCACTTTCTACAATGGACAAGTCATCCAGACAGAAAATCAACAAAGAAACAAAGGAGTTAAACGGCATTCTAGACCAAAAGGACATAACTGAGATTTGTAAAACACTTTATCCAACTGCTACAAAACACACAATCTTTTCACTAGTACATGGAACACTGTCCAGGATATACTATATGTTAGGCCACACAATGATGTCAACAAATTTTTGAAGTTGAACTCATATCAAGTGTCTTTTCTAACTACCATGAAATAAAACTGGGAATCAATAACAAGAGGGATTTGGGAAAGCATACAAATACATAAAAATTAAACAGCATGCTCCTAAACAACCAATAGGTCAATGAATAAATTAAGGATGAAAATTAAACATTTTGTGACTCAAATGAAAATGGAAGCACATCATATCAAAACCTGTGGGATTCTTAATACAGCAAAAGCAGTATTAAGACAAAGTTTATAGTAATACATGCCTATCAAAAAGGTAGAAAAGTTTCCTATAAACAGCCTAATAATGTACTTTAAGAAACTAGGAAAACAGGAATAAACTAAACCCAAAATAGTAGAAGGAAAGGAATAATAAATATTAGAGCAGAAAAAAAAAACCAGTAGAAATGATCCACTAAATGAAAAGTTGGATTTTTGAAAAGATAAATAAAATCAACAAACCTTCATATGGATAAAAAAAAATACAACTGATGCCACAGAAATACAGTACATTATTGTAAACTATTATGAACAAGTATATGCCAACACATTTCAAAACCTAGAAGAAATGGACAAATTCCTGGACACTTACAACCTACCAAACTGAACCATGAAGAAACAGAAGACCTCAACAGATTAATAATGAGTTATAAGATCAAGCAGTAATAAAAAATTCCCCATCAAAGAAAAGCCCAGGACTTGATGGCTTCATGCTAAATCTACCAAACATTTAAAGAAGAACTAATACCAGTTTCACTCTAACTCTTCAGAAAAAATGAAGAGAATGAAATCTAAATTAATTCTCTGAGCGCAGTATTACCCTGAAACCAAAACCAGAAAAGGACACAGAGAAAAAAGAAACCTACATGCCAATATTCCTGATGAACACAGTTGAAAAAAATTTTCTACAAGATACTAGCAAACTGAATTCAACAACACATGTAAAACATCATCACCACAATCAAGCGGGATTCCTCCTAGAGATGCAAATACGGGTTAATATATGCAAATCAATAAAGGTGATACATCACATGAACATAATCAAGAGAAATCATATGATTATTTCAATAGATGCTGGGAAAGCATTTCATAAAATTCAACATCCCTTAGTGATAAAACTTCTCAGCAAATTGGGTATGGAAGGAACAAAGCTTAAAACAATAAAGAATATATATATATATATACACACACACATATATATATACACATATGTGTATATA